GCGACTTTGGCTCCATCCATAGTATACTATCAAATCTATGGTAATAGAAAATGTAGTACTAACGCTATCTTTTCAATGTCTATGGTATTTGTAATATTTACATTCAAAAATTTGACATGTTTGTCAAATATGTGTTTAAAATCCAGTTTTAACGTAGTCAAAGAAAACGACCTTCTTGTATTATATTTTAAAACAGTCAGTCGGTGTTTCATAATCATGTAGTCTATAGAATGAAATGAATATGTCTAACTGGCTTATGTCGTGTCGTCCATAATATAATCATAAGTGTTTCTGGGACTGCCCTTAGAGTTATATTTCCATTTTACAATAAGAATTTTTATATTATGTAAAAAATAATAGTTTAAAATGATAATTTCTCGTTTACGGTTAATTACATTTGATGTGACAGATACTCTACTAAAATTTCGATCTGGTCCTGGTCACCAATATGGAGAAATCGCTGCTATATATGGAATTTTGTGTGACAGGAACATTTTAAGTGCTAATTTTAAAGCTCATTGGCGTAAAATGAATCAAGAACACCCCAATTTTGGTCTATATTCGGGACTGGGATGGGAGCATTGGTGGAAAATGGTAGTTAAAGGTACATTTAAAGATTCTCACTTTAATTTGGATGATAAAAAGCTAGACAATGTTGCTTCACATTTAATAGAAATTTATAAAACTTCTATTTGCTGGGAACAGTGTCATGGTGTTTCTGAACTGTTGTCGTATATACGAAGTAAAGGTATTCCTATCGGAATTATATCTAACTTTGACCCAAGGTTAAGTACAACACTTGTAAACACAAGACTTAGGCATTATTTTCAATTTGTTCTTACTTCATATGAAGTAGGAGTTGAAAAACCTGACACAAAAATTTTTGAGGAAGCAATGAAAGCTTCCAAGTTAAAAAATCTGAAGCCAGAAGAATGCTTACATATTGGAGACAAAACTGCACTAGACTATTTAGGCGCTAGGAGTAGTGGTTGGCATGGAGCGGTAATTATTGATAGAAATCCAGAATTATTAAAGGAACAATATCCAGTTGTAGAAACGAATCATTTATTCAAAGATTTATTTCATTTACAAAAATATTTTATTAACAGTACAAGAGAAAAATTAACTGGACACTCTCTCTATTAGAGAACATAAACTTGTACATAATATAGCCAAATTCTATTAATTCTTCAGGAGTAGTGACGAGATTCTAAATAAATAAGAACTCAAAAAATATGTGATTGGAATAGTGCAATAAATATTTTAATGAACATTAAGTGTTTATAAATAAAACAGAAATGCTGTATTAAAATATTACTAATTATAGTCTATTAATGTAGATCCGATTTTATTGAAATATATTTACTTTTCTCAAAAGGAAATTGTGTATGAATATTTTTGTTACAAAAATTGTATTTAGATTTGCTTCATATTTTAGGAAAACATTATTTAAAGGTTTCTAAAAATAATGTGTCTTCTAAATAAGGGTACTTACTATTTATTAATAAAGTGTTATATCTAGTCGATAAGTAGGTATAAAATTATCTAAAATATTCGTTGATATAGTGTCTGACAAAAATGGGTCAATATAGACTGATTTAATCAAGTTCAACCAATCTTTTTAAAAAAATGTAGATCACATTAGCTCTTTCATTTTTTACTCTATTTTAAAGGTATTTTATCAAATGAAGTAAAACAATGTTCTTCGATACAGAAATCAAGTTATGTAAATGATATTTAATCCCACAGACAAGACCCGTAAATGATGATATTACAGGAAACGACTACTCTACCTAGTGAACCGCTAATAATAAATAATTATTTAAAAGTTAAAGATGTGTACATGTAATGAACCAGTATTGATGTTGAGTTTTGTGTATGGGTTTCGCTATTTATTTATTTAATTAGCTTAATTGGCAAGAGCAATTATTATCCGCGAGTCGAGCTGAACCGTCCGTTTGCCCCACTCTGACGAGTGCCGCGCGCATAATCCCACCAAGACTCCTAGTCAGTTAAGGGGGTATTGAGGAAATAAAACCACCATTCCTGGACCAAAACAGGCAGTTCAGATCCTGAACTCGAAGAGCTCCAGCTCCAGACTTGAGGAGGGAGGACCACCCCGAGGACCTGAAACCGACCCAGAGACCGCCATCCGAACCGAAGGAGTTAGCCACCAGGAGCAGCGACCCGGAATAAGTAAGCAAATTGTATTTCCCGATTTTTACTTGTCCTGTATTGGCATATGTCCTGCCGAGTTTTGAACTCTATTTGAACTAAGTGCTGAACGGTACGGCGGCGGCGTTTTCAGGCGGAGGTTGACTGTGCATAACATCGCCTTCGTTTTGAGGAACGTAGCTAGGGCACATTAACTGAAACAGCTGGTTGACTGTGCATAACATCGCCAGTGGAAGACGTTAGGTGTTGGCCAGACCGTGACTGATAGACCCAGGAAGTTGGCTGTGCATAACACCGCTTTTAGGAGACATCTGTCGTATACAGTACGTGGTGCGGCAGCGGCGTTGTCTGGCGGCGGGTTGACTGTGCATAACATCGCCCTCGTTTTGACGAACGTTGTTGGTTACCTTGACTGAAACTGCTGGTTGACTGTGCATAACATCGCCAGCGGAAGACGTTAAGTGCCAGCCGTACCGACGGATAGACCCAGGGAGTTGGCTGTGCATAACACCGCTTCCAGGAGAAATCTGTCACCGGCCGCGCGTCCGAACGTGTACTCGAATAGACTTTGCCTCCCGTCAACCAAACTATTCCTGTCCCTGATTACCGTTTGCTTATTTACGCCATTTGTGTACTGCTTGCTTCGCTTTCCCCTTGGCTGGTATTAATTCCGCATAATTTTCCGTTGCATTTGCTAGAAACCGCCGACGATATTTATTTGTAGAATTAGAGTAGCCCGTAATTTATTTTTCTTTATTTCAGAGCCATTGGGAATCGGCATATTTGTTTACTACTCTGATTTGCTAACGGTGTTTTCCTTTCTAGCACCGACCGCAATTAAAACCGAATACCGTTGGCATACCGTTTCCTAAAGTATTAGATTGTTTATTGTAAAAATAAACTAAACGCCTAATACCGCATTTGCTTACCGTACCGATTTTTGTGTCCTGAACACCGATATTTTGACTATCCTCTAATTTTATATTTATTTACAGCTCCGGAAAATCGAATAAGCATTTTTAATCCCGTGATATATAATTGCTCTAACCAATTTTATGTTATTCTCACCGTTTGTAAATTATATTTACATTTCTGATTTTAGTTGTTTATTATAATTATTGTAATTAGAATCTGTTTTACTTTTGATGGTTTCAATTGCCGTAGGCCTTAGTAATGTAAAATAAATCTAGTAAAAATATTTCCAGTTGTATTCATTTTAACACCGACCAGCTTGATAAAATTCCGATCAGTAAAAAGTCTTACTATCTATTTGTGACCTACACTGATAAGTCCGTTTATTTTAAAAGGAAAATAACACTACACTCGGAGAACTACTTTGATTAAAAATAAGAGAAATATAACAGACCCCTGGAATTAAACTTTCTTCACTGCAGCTATCCCGAGTACTTACTCTAAACCGAGGGTAGGTTTCACGTGGAGTTTCCCCCACGTAAAAGATAAGAAAACTGGCGCCCGAGACAAAACCGAATAAAAAGATTGTAATCCGGAGTACGTTCCTGTGACGTCACTCACTCAATTTTGTAGAAAATTTAATTTTATAAAATTACAGTAAATGTTTAAAAACGTTTTCATTTTGGTAAATGTTGAAAATGAAGATCAGCATAATATGATCGGAATATATTATACCTGTAACCGCAACTGTGAAAGAGCATGTTGGATGTATTTGTATTAATATCCTGAAAAAAAATTAGATCGAAATTTGTTTGAATTTTGAGCACTCGAGAAACCTAGAAATAATTATGAGCACGGAATTAAAACTCTAATAATGTTTTATTGTAACATGTGATGGTAATAGTTTAAATAACTAGGTGAATTTCACAGAGTCTAACGATGCTTAGAGTGTACAATAATTCAATAAACATAGAAATTTAAATAAAAAATTTAGATACATTTGGAACATTGAAGATGAATTTTTCAAGACAAAATGTCTGAATCTGGTTCGGGCTAAGGCAGTACAGTATTGGGGGTTATGAAGGCTTGCAAAAAATGTAATAAAATTTCCAGGGTCGCATTTAAAAAAAAATAAAGTTGATGGTCCTGGAGAGATGAAACGTTACATATAAATATTGATTGTGGCATTCGAAAGTGTCCTTGTTTTTTCAATATCACCTCAAACAAGGCTGGAAAGAAACAAAAACAGATTTCCAAAATCTCTTTTTTTCAAATATTTCAAAAACTAATCATGTTAGCTCATATTTTTTAGAGGCATAATGTTAGTCCTCTGATTATGCAACCTTGCCCCCATTTAAGCTACTTCGTATATCTCTTACAGTTTCCGAGATCCCTGTAGTGAGAAGCGAATTTGTAACAGCCTGTAGACCGTTGAAGTAAAAAATATTAAACTCGGTTTTTGTCCACAATCAGGTACAATTTGAAAATCCAGAAACATTCAACGTTATTAGAGACAGCACAGGTCGATTTTTTTTTAGTACAAATAAAACAACAAAGAACCAGCCATAAATATAAACCCCAAGAGCTCCATACCCCACAATATTGTAAAATTAAACCTGAACTTTTACTTGTTTGTTACTTTGTTTTTAAGCAATATGATTCCTATTAATTGTGCCAAACCAACGATCAGATTAACTAATAAAGATTAAAAATGTTTCTCAATTTTCTGAATAACATTTTAAATACAGTTGCTAAGATGAATGCGCTGAATTCCACGCAAGACATCCCGATAAGCCTTTTCCAAATCCGGAGTTTTTAAGAACTAACTTAGTAAAACTAAAAACAACTGCAAAAGGCCGAAAATCATCTTCATAACTGAATTAAAACGTTACTTTTATACACATTTAAATACAACAGCTTTCAAATAACACAATGACAATACAATAATGATAGTTCCTTTCAAATAACACAATTTTTGTTTAATATCCAAGGCCTACTATTGCTGTGTTAGCTTCTTTTAGTTGCTGCCGACTGCAGATTATTTTTGTTGTTTTTGCCGATTGTTCGAAAACGGCTGCTCCAATAAAGAAATGTGACAGAAAACATATTTTATTTAGAATTTGAAGGTTTGTCAAATTATGTTAAGGAAATGCGGTGTTGCCATTTAAACAAATATCGTTTTTGTAGCTACTGCAGAAATCTGCCAACACCGGAAATAATTATTTCAAAATTTTTCATAAGTTATTTCCTACAACTTTGCATTTGGAAGTACTAGGTTTTAAAAAAATTGCACTGTATAAGTGGGCTAAATACACCATAATCCAAAGTTGCTCCTTTTGCTGTGTATTGGGTTTTCAAATTTTTCAAAAATTTACTAAACTGCACAAAATAATGCGATCACTGGTTGGTTGACTAGAATCACAGCCAGTGAAACAGAATGTTGTTTTAAAGTAAACTTGATATTATTGTTTTAATAATTTTTAATTTTATCAAAATTGAATTACCAAAACGAAGGAAATAAAATTACTGGTCACGTGGCTTGTAATTATTTAAGGCTCTGCATGTCTAAGAATTTCAGAAATTAGATGTAATTAAGTTGTTTTGAAATTCGATAACTGTTTTGATTGCAATTGTATTTCAAAGAAAGATTTCTTTCCTTGTATTTGAAAAATGAATTTTCGAATTATTTTCTTTTAATATAAATTTTATCGAAAAGAATTCTAAGTGGTTTCACAAGTTTTAATTTTTTATGTATAGGAATTTTTATTTGTAAATACAATGTAACTGTTGAAGGTATGGGAAAGTCAAGTTGATATTTGCGCATTACTATCTAGCATTTCACAGAATTTCTGCCATTGGTCGATAGAATTGTTCACGGTGTTCGTTAAAGAAAGGGCCAAACTTTACCACTAGATCCTACAACAAAAATTAATGGGAAAAGTCTTATACAATGTTGCTCATAAACGCTTAGTTTTCGAGATTCAGGGTGTTGAAGTTGAAAAAAAATAACACTTTCTTTAATATCTTTCGACTATGTCGAACTAATTTCATATCTGGAGGTTTTTTGACTAGAAATTCTAATTTATCGATGATTTCTTTGTATCTTCTAGAGCAGGGGTCGGCAAGTAATTTTAGGTGGGGTCCAGATACTTTTGAAAATTTTTAACGAGGTACAGAAAAAAAATTGTAAATAATTTTTTATTTTAATTTGGACTCAAATTTAATCTGCTTACTAACCATTAAGAACTCAAATCAGTCACACAATTGTAAAGTACTAGAAAAAATGACAAGGGTGGCAATACGTAAAAAAATTTTTTTTAAATAATCTGTTGAGTAATTTATACTTTAAAAAAATGTTTGGCAGTCATTTTACCTTTCGCGGTATAGACCTGGACTGTGGACCGCCAGTTGCCGACCCCTGTTCTAGAGGGTGCCACAAGTGACTATTAGGACACATTTAAACTGTAAAATCTTTTTGTGCCACCGTGTAATTTCACTTAGAGTTGGAAAAATCTTTTCCCTCAACTTTTCTGTTTAAAAAAGGTATACCTTTGCTAATATCTCTAAAGCCAACTGTTTTAAACAAAAAGGCACTTAAATTTGTAAATGCATAACAAAATTTGTTAGTTTTATTATTAGTTATTTTCAACACTAATGAACGAAATTAGGAGCAATCGTTTATTAACAAGAAATATGCCTTTAAATAAAAAAGTACAATTACAATTTTAAATTTGTGTTATTTAACAATTATTTTGTAAACAAAATTGACAGTAAAAAAACTACTTTTTCAAAACAATCTATCAATACAACACATCTAAACGACCTAAAACTCTAATAAAAAATAGCTAATTATTATTGACCTGTATTAAAAAATATGTTTTCAATGCTTATCAGTGGAGCTGAAAATAACTTTTAAACAAATTTTTTATGCATTTACAAATTTAAATGCCTTTTTGTTGAAAATGATTGGCTTTAGAAATATTAGCGAGGGTATACCTTTTTTAAGCAGAAAAGTTGGGGGAAAAGATTTTTCCCGGCCTAAAGTGAAATACAGTGTCACTAAAGTTTTGCCAGTTTAAATGTGTCCTAATGGTCACTTGTGGCGCCCTTTAGAAGATACAACGAAATCATTGATAAATTCAAATTTTTCATCCCAAAAAACCCCCAGATATTAAATTAACTCGAAGTAGTCGAAAGGTATGTTATTTTTTTTCAACTTCAACACCCTGTATCTCGAAAACTAAGCATTTATGAGCAACATTGTATACGACTTTTCATAATTAATTTTATCATAGAATCTAGTGGTAAAGTTTGATTCTTTCTTTAACGGACACCCTGTATACAAATCCAGTAAAACATTACATTTTTGTTTACTTGTCACCATTTTCACCCAAATTTCTTGTCATATACGTAAATGTACTGTAACTTGCAAATGAACTAACCTACTACTACTTTACTCCTTACTGGCAAGCAATTCTAATAGCAATGATCTTCCCATTTTGTTATTTATAAATAAATTGACAATAATAAAGTATATTTTCAGTGAATCAATATTTATTTAGATAAAAAAAATTATAGATTATCTACAAAATAAATTATTAAAAAGCATAACGAGTTCTTATATCTTCTAATTTCTTGGAAACCTCTGCAGGAGTTCTGTCCAAGTCTGTTGCGATGCTCTTCTGCTTTGCGGGTTCCAATGAATTATACTGTTCACACATATCACCATCAATTACGTTCTGAAATTTAAAATATATCCTTTATCCTACACATCACCGAGATTAACATATCAAGTTTATTAATTTATGTCTCAGAATTTAAAATAAATCATTAGACTCATAAGTCTAGCATGTTTACATTATATCATCACTTTTACATAAAAATTTAACTTTTCTTAAATACTTTATATTTATTATTAGTTATTTATATAACTTTAATAAAAGAGTGATTTACAACTTATTCAAAAAAATTTGGGAATAGATGCGGCATTAGAAAGAGTCAATATCGTAAACAATTTTTTGTAAAATCCTTACTAGTTTTAGCACTTTTAACCATTACATAACTGGACAACTGTAGTCTCTAGCATCATTCGTAATACGCATGGAGAGCCACGTGGCCTCAGCAACTCGGGAATACTGAAATCCGATTTTACAGTCGTCATTGCCATAGTGTTTACAATAATTTTTTAGTAGTTAGTGTCAAAAATGGCTTATGTGTATAGCAACTCGGAGTTGATGAATATCATTTTAATTCATGGTGAAGCATTTGTGTTATGGTGAAACAAGACAGCATTTGTGTTAGTTCATAGAAACTGAGTAAGACGGACCCAAATGTGTTTACACGTTGGTGGACAAAATTTTGAACAGTTGTAACATCAGGTATGCCAAATTGTTTTATTATTTAAAACCACAAATTAATTTTATTAATTAATAATAACAATAGCGGCTGATATAAAATTCTATTCCTTTCCTTGCGAAATTCTTTCAAGTTTTTGTCCGGTTTTATCACTGCTGCCGTGACAATCGCATTTTACAGTGGACCAGTTTCCAGTGCCATGCAGAAGTGTATTTTCAAAGTACCCTTTTTAATTTTTTCTTTACAAAATTGTATTTTTAAGAATCTCCTGCACATTGAGAACTTTTTTTGGATAAGTTCTGAATCACCCTGTATAAGTCCATGCCAGTTATGATTTTTTAATAATCACTATTTAAATATTTAACTAAGTATAATTATTTAAAATATACACCATCCACCATGTTTTGAGATAGGGAAAATTTTTTTGCCATGGTTCAAAAAAACTTTTTCTTCTAATAATTCTTTATTGTCTGAATACCAAATAAGAGAGCAATCTACATATAAAAAGAGATTTTATTTAGGAGAAAATGACATTTTGATTAAAACAATGTAATAATAATAATAATAATAATAATAATAATAGTAATAATAATAATAAAAAATGTCTTTATTTAATATTGAAAAAATAAAATTAACAATTAGGCATTGTGGTTGGCGCCGTTCAGCTCTGTAACATAAACTGTAATTTTTTGGGGAACTTTTTTATTTGAAATTATAGACTAGTATTTCCAAATGCAAAGTTGTAGGAAATATCTTAAGAAAAATTTACAAATAATGCTTTCTGGTGTTGCCAGATTTCTTCAGTAGCTACCAAAACAATATTTCTTTAAATGGCAACACCATACTTCTTTTAACATAATTTGACAAATCTTTTAGAACAATCAGCAAAAACAAGGAAAATAATCTGCAGTCGGCAGGAATTAAGAAAACCTAACATAGTAGGCCTTGGAAATTAAACAAAAATTGTGTTGTTTGAACGGACCCATCATTGTGTTATTTGACAGCTGTTGTTTGAATGTGTATACAAATAACGTTTTAATTTAGTTGCTAAGAAGAAACAGTTATTTAATCCAAAAGAGAAAGTTGAATTAATTTTTCTTCGTGTTGGTGGCTTAAGTCTACGCAATGCGTCACATCATCTTAGCAACTGAATTAAAAGGTTACTTTTATACACAATATTCAAATAAACATCTGTCAAATAATATAATGACAGCACAATAATGACGGCTCCTTTCAAACAACACAATTTTTGTTTTAATTTTCAAGGCCTACTATTGCTATGTTATTTTCTGTTTTTGCTGGTTGTTCTAAAATGGCTATTTCAATAAAGAAATGTGACATAACAATTTTTGTTTAGAATTTGAAGATTTGTCAAATTACGTTAAAAAAATACGGTGTTGCCATTTAAAGAATTAACATTTTAGTAGCTAATGAAGAAATATGGCAACACCGGAAGGCTTTATTTGCAAATTTTTCTTAGCCATATTATTTCCTACAACTTTGAATTTAGAAATAAGTCTATCACTTCAAATAAAAAAGTTGGCCTGTCAGGTTTTAAAAAATTACACTGTATGTATACATATATTTTGATGTGGAATTTTTAGCTTATTATTATTATTATTTCTTTAGTCAAATTCTTATTGGAGTTAATATTTACTTTGAAGTCTGCATTTATTTTATAGTCTGTTTTATGTCATTAAATCCTGAAATCGCATTTCTAGTAAGGATTTTTCCAACACTGGAAATCAACAAAAATCACAATCACCCCTTTGATTGTGGAAGTAATTCCTTGGCTCTACAAGCAACATGCAGTCCCGCATTGTTTTGTTGCAGTAATGGAGGGATATGTAACTTGTAGCAAGCCGGAGAAAGTTGGAATAATATTTCCATGTTACTTGTGGTTCTTTTTGGCAAATAGCCTATCAAGATTATCGCGCTGCAACTCCAGATAGAAAATTTATTATACATTTTTAAATCTCCAAAACTTTGGGAGCATCCCTCCATTTCACTTTTCATGGAGCCACCTTTATATTTCAGGTATTTGAAATTGAAAGGTTGTCACATTTAGCATAGAACCTACAAAGCAATTATGATGAAGCTAAAGAGTGACCGCAAAAAAACTGTGATTTTCGCACGTTTTATCACAATTCACAGATAATTTTAAAATATACATAAAAATATGTTTTTGGTCGCAAATTACTTGTAATAAACTGAAATGAGCATAGCTTTCAGTATTTTGAAAATTTTAAAAATCCCTACTTAGGGGTTGAAAAAATGCCAAAAATGAAGAATTTGAATATTACCAATTGATATGAAAACTATCAGTACGTTTTTTTTTTAATTTTTACAATTATTTCTGATATTTGGGGATGATTCCACCCCCTGAGCGCGCTTAACCCTTTCACTGCTCCAGACGTATATATTCGCTAAAAATTTATAGGGCTCAAACTGCTCCAGACAGATTAATTCGCATGAATAGTTAAATTGGATCAGGCTGCTCAAACCGTATATATTCGCAACCATGTGCATTAGTGACTCGGTTATTGCAATTGGTAAGGCGAATTTTTGCGGACGAGTTTATACCGATTGTGATAAATATTTTTATGGAAAGAGGTACTGGTAATAATACCAAGATTGTTCATGTTTCTTTCAGTTTCTATTTAGTACATATACTGTATTTTATTCAAAATAAAATTGTAAAATTTATCGTAAATCGTAATTTAACACAACATAATGTAAAACTATAAGTGGTCTAACTGCTCCAGATGTATATATTCGCATGCGATAAACTTTCGCACACGGCGCGGTAGCTACGTTCAGACGTACTGCGCAGCGAAAGGGTTAAATTAGTTTTATTTTTGACAACTTTGAAGTCATGAGAATAAATCTTTCTTTGTATGAAGAATCATTCGATAGAAAAATTCACATGCTAATAGTTTTTATATTTAAATATTCAATTCTTCATTTTGGGCGTCTTTTCAACCCCTAAATAGGGGTGATTTTTGAAAATTTTCAAAAAACTATAAGCTATGCTCATCTTAATTTTTTACGACGAGTAATTTGAGAGCAAAAACATATTTTTATCTATTTTCTTTAGTTCTCTGCAAATTGTTAAAAAACGGACGATTTTTGCGGTCACTGTTTGTGGTTTTAAAATTAAAAAATTGCTAATACAGGGTGATTCTTTAATATTGCGAAAAATTTCAGAGACAGGTTCTCTAGATAAAAATAAGAAAAAACGTTCCCATTAGCATGTGTCCGGAAACGCTTCGTTTCCGAGATATAGGGCGTTAATTTTTTTTGTAATCTACTTTTAATACTTGTTATTTCAAAAGTCCTTTAACTATACGATAAGGGTATCTGTCTTGATATATGTCTGATTAAATTATCTTATCGTGTTCAAACAAAATAGCCCCAGTTGGCTTGGAAATTGGAATGCCCACCAACTGTCAATAATTGTTTTTTGTCAGTAGTTGATTACTGTTTGTCACATTGTGAGTGTAGAAGTGTTTCGTGTTTTAAAACTGATATTTCTCTTCAAAGAATGAATAACACAAATAATGAATTGTGCGATATGCATTTTGTTTATGGTCTTGCCGACGGTAATTCGTTAAGGGCTAGGCGTATTTATGAGGAAAGATACCCTAATCGTGCAATTCCGCATCATACAATATTTACTCGTCTCCATCTCCGTCTCAATAAAACAGGTAGCTTTAAAAAAATGACTGCTGAAAACGGGCGACCTCGTACAGTTTCAACTCCACACATGGAAGAAGTGCTCCACGAAATCGAAGAAAGTCCTATAACAAGTACAAGAAAGATTGCCGCAAATCTAAATATTAGTCAGTCAACAGTCTTTAAGATACTGAAAAATCAGCTTTTGTATCCATATCACATCCAAAGAGTACAGGCGCTTTTACCAGACGATTTTCCTCGAAGGTTGGCTTTTTGTCGATGGATTCAAGAAAAAATTGGACAAAATCCTCAGTTTTTAGCAGAAATACTTTTCACCGATGAGGCTAATTTCTCCAAAGAAGCCATAATGAACTTTCATAATAATCACATATGGGCAGATGAGAATCCACATGCAATAATTGAAAGCCGCCATCAACATAAATTTTCAGTAAATGTATGGGTAGGAATTATTGGAGACCACTTGATTGGCCCAATCTTTTTACCAAGGAGGCTAACTGGAGAAGCTTATCGTAATTTTCTTGAAGAGGAGTTGCAGATACTACTGGAAGACGTCTCTTAAGACTCCAAATGTATTTTATGCACGATGGCGCTCCAGCACATTTTAGTTTAATTGCGCGACAACATTTGGATGCAGTGTACCCAAATCGTTGGATAGGTCGAGCAGGCCCACATCCCTGGCCTCCGCGGTCTCCTGACCTAAATCCATTGGATTTTTTTCTCTGGGGCCACCTCAAACATCTGGTTTATTCCACTCCAATTGAAAATGTCGAGGAATTGAGAAATCGTATTGTTACAGCGTGTGAAACAATTCGGCACACCCCAGGCATTTTTGAACGTGTACGTCAATCAATGCGTCGCAAGATCGAAGCATGTAGTGCAATTGGAGGTGGTAATTTTCAACAACTTTTATAACTTTACTTCTTCGCTGGTTTTCATTAATTCCACCAATTTAATTTTTTCATTCTAATAATTCTTGCCTCACTGTGCATTAATACCGGGAATAAATAAGTGCAGAGCAAAAGTTATTAAAATTATTATTTTGTAACATTTTGTATTATGTTATTATGTTATTTTGTATTTGGTATTATGTTATTAATGATACAAAAAATGGCTCCTATTATTAAACAAAAACCAGTCAATTTTCAAATAAATCGGTTAAAGGACTTTTGAAATAATAAGTACCTATTAAAAGTAGATTACAAAAAATGAACGCCCTGTATCTCGGAAACGAAGCGTTTCCGGACACATGTTAATGGGAACTTTTTTTTCTTATTTTTATCTAAAGAACCTGTCCCTGAAATTTTTCACAATATTAAAGAAACACCCTGTATAATTTTTTTAAAAGTTCATTCCTTTTTAATTTTAAAACTGGATGCCTATGACTAAGTCAACTATATAAGAATAATTGCTTTGCAGGTAATTATTTAGTATTAAAATGTAAAAATTCAAAATAACCATGATTTATTAAAGGTCTGTGAAAAAAGAAACAGGGTATATACAGGGAGATTCAAATTTAATTATCGCTGTAGAAATATCACAAACTATTAGAAATACTGAAAAGCTTATATGTACAAAATGGTACAGTCCAACTAGAAAAGATTGTGAATCATCATGATAAAATTTTATGTGTTCTTTTGTTCAGTTTGTTTTTTAACTAACATTTTTGAGAAAATAATTTTTCTCGTATCATTTATACCTATTGGATTTTACTGAAAAAATAATGTTCTTGTAGTATCAAACAAATTACGTGATATTTAAAGAAATTTTAAGATTTTCTGCAATTAAACTGCAAATAACGGAGCTACAAGCTGATATTTATAGGTTTCCATTTTTTTCGTAATGAAATCCAAATAAACAGAAAAAAAAACGGAAGCCAACTAATAAATACACGATACAGAAAGACTGCTGCAAAATTGAAAAATGTGATATCCAGTACTAACATTTTGTTAACAAAGACCGATTGCAACTAAAATTTAAAACATGAAAATTTGAAAAATTTCCTGAAAATTACTCAGTTAAATTTTATACGAATTATTTTTAATTTGTTCATATGCACCTAAAGAAATTTATAAATTATCAGACAATATTATTTTTACCTTAACAGGAAAGTAGTAACATCTGAAGGACAAGTGATCTCTCCCACATAAAGGAGGATTTTCACTCCTCATCTGCATTTCCAAATGTTGGAAAAAGTCATGGTCTTCGTGGGACGTAAAAGGTACTAAAACCCCTACAGTCCCCGAAAGTGTAGTATAGATAAGCGATTCTGAGCCACCAGGAATTAATGTTGCCTTTTGAAGCCAAGTCACCGTTTCACCTACATGGAATGTCGAGATAGTGTCAGCTTTCTGAGAAGCACCATTTAAAAGGCCTCTATCCCACAATGCTTTGTGACCTGTAGGATCTTCTTCCACATCATCACTTACGTTTGGAGGCAGACGGAGAATGGCTATATTGCCGAATTTGTCCGCCGTCGCTACAGTATCATAATCTAATACAGTCTTACAAGTAATCCATCTTGGATGGGTATCATCGGCAAATATTATCAGCTGATTTTCATTTCTTTTATAACGAACCATAAAAACAGATTCTTGAACATCGGATACAAATATTCTTTTTCCCATTGCTTGTATATTGACTATAGCATTAGGAATGTGCTGCAACAAATACTATCCGTCAGTTTAAATATTATTTACTTACCAAATACATTAATAATGGTCATAATCAGCACTGCAGGATATCAGCATAATATCAGACTTTGTTTATCATCACAAGATAAAAAATAATTTTACATATGTTAGAAGTTTAATTTAACATATTGGGGGCCAAAGTACCCCATTACGAGTTAATTTAAATTTCAAAGTACTTTTTGTACTGTAACAAATGAAGGTATTGAAATGAAACTTTCTGTGCACAATTCATGAACAAAATGGCATTTGATGTGAAAAAATTAAGTCTCAACTGAAATCAATGGTGTATAATGCCATCTAATATAATAAAAGCTCAGAGTGTAAAGTGGTACCTACACTAAATTAAAAGACATTCGGACGGAAAAGGATGAATTTTCCCCCTTGATTTTAACAGGATTAAATTATAGACTGAATTGCACTGCTTTGAGAATCTGTTATAAATTTATTTAAATACTATAATTTATCACATGATTAGTGAGGATAAAACAGTTTTAATCAAAATTATTAACTTCACTGCATCTCGACCGAATTGATTTCGTAATAGTCCCATCAGCGCTGTTGAAATACCCACAAATATAATACACCAGCGACGGCTCACTAAAGTTAAAGTGATCATATTCTTATAAAAACGTGGGACATATATTGTTTTTAGGGGATGATTCCTAGGCTAACATAGTGAATTTGTGTGATGCAAAAATTTCAAATGATCTTTGCAAAATAAAAAATTAAAATAGAGCTACTCGATCTTGAGATCTCAAAAAGGTTTGCACATATATCTGCATATTTTATAAAATGCAAGTTTGAAAAATGGAATGTTAATATCAAACTCATATTTAAATACATATTGCTATGAAGAAAAATTCATTTAGCATAAAATAAAAATTAAAACTTGATCTATTGCTAAATACAAAAAAAATGTTTTGGTAAATTTTGTTTATTTATGTTTATTACATTAGTTACGTTTTTTCTCTATAATAAATAATTAGGAATTTGTACTTTGTGGTTGTGAAAAATAAAAAAAGTAAAGCTGGCTGATTAAATTGACAATCTGTAACTTTAAGTAATTTTTAAAAACAAAGGTACTTTACTCTTGACAATTTTTTAAAATTCATTGTAAAAACAAACTGTGCAATAATTAATTGGGCAAATTTTTTCAACTTCTTAGTTTAAAGCCAAGCAGAGATGAAGCCCAGAAGCTCAAATTTCAACTCGAAAATTTTTTATCATTTACACCCCACGTGCACTCAATCTGTGGACACACTGTATGTGCAATTTTTTTGTGAACTCAGGATCGCCCATTCCTATTTTAATTTTATATTTCTCAAATTTTATTTGAAATGTTTCCATCACTAGTTTCTGTGAGGATAAAATCATCCTGTAAAGAAATGTATGGGTTTTATGCTTCATTATCAAAACTTTAACTTTTGCAAGTCGTCACTGGAATACACAAATGATTCTCAACAGTATGTGCTGCCTATGTCCACTGTCCATTTGTAAGTATTTGATGACCTTTAGCTGGTTATATTTTTTTCAAAAATTATGGCACACCACTAGAGAATTTTGTTTTGCCAATCTTGAAATGCAAATTTTATTTTGATTTTCGTAAAAATTAGTAATTTATAAAGATACACTTACATAAATTTAAAATTGTACACAATTTATAAAAAAATCAGTGTTTCCCTGGCCCAAATTTAATAATACTATACGACTACCATATGAACAATTGAAACCTTTGTTTTTTGAGATGCCCATAGGATGTTAAGGGGGCGATTTAGTATGTATATTTTTACCGTGTAACAGAGCTTCAGATGAGGACACAAATCATCGAAGAAACTAACATAATTGAATATTATTATATATCGATGTATTCGCAATGGTTCCCGCTAGTGAGTGAGATAAATTTCAATGCTCATGAGAACAGAAGAATAATTTAAATAAATGCCAAAGTACCTCAATTTTAACCATACTGTTAGTCTGTCAATATATTCCATTTACAACGGAACTAGGTTAGGCACAATAACCAAACTACTTCACTCACTAGAACGGACACCTAGGATCATTTGTATTTAATTTTCAGATTAATATTTATTAATAGTTCTATAATTTGTGTCCTCAAGTGAAATGACANTAAACCAGAATTGTGGTGATTCCTATCTAAACACAAGATATTCTAAGTATAATTAGTTTGTATACTCTCACAGGTGTCGCTACCCTTGAAAATGAAAGTGAAAACACAGAGTTGGTTTATTATAAAATGTGTGCTAAAATAAAGCATAATGGTCTAATATTATCTTTGATATATAAATATGGGTAATTTTTTAAAAGTACCTAAGTAATAAGATTTTGTAAAGCTTAAGTAGTACGAAAATATAACACATAAAAAAACAATAATATGTACTAATTTTTCTTTATTAAGAATAAAGATTAAATTTTACGTACAGGATGTCCCACATAAAATCGTTATTTATGTTCCACTTCCTTGGTAGCTTCAAAATAAATTTACAGCTTAAAAATTAGCCTGGCTCAGGTAGATTTCTTCTTCAATGTACAAATCTACAAATCTTCAAGCTACGGTACCGGTAAGAAGGACACCACTGGATATTTAATGAAAAAATTTACGACCAAAAAAGTAATACATTCTAGAATATGAATATAATTAACACAATTTTTATTTCATATTGTCTTGACAATCAACTTTTGCTTATTTTTAGTCACTTACTATCGAAATAAATGAAATTGACCTCTGAGTTTGGAAACCGATATTAAGAAAACGTAGGGGCAATTTAATAAAAAAAATTATGATTGTCCTCGATTAATAATTAATAGATTAATGATTATTAAAATCTTTACTCTCTTTCCTTATAAGACTGTATGTACAAATTGAAGCCATTCCTGAACAATGGGGCGCGAGGCCTGTTAAAATATCGGTCCAGCGTAAATTATTAAACAACACACCTTGAACCGTTGGCCGCTAGAGCAGCACTTGCCGGGGTCTCGTTTCGTGACTCACGCTGGGCGATATTTTTTGTACAAAATCCCATCCAGGTTTTTAAAAAAGTCTATTAGTAAATTCGTATCAAGAGAGAGAGCAGATATGTGAGAAGAGATATCAAAAAATGTTAATGTTGAAAATATTTTGTAAAATTTAATTGCTAATTTGTATTTCAAAATGGACAAAAAATAGAATACATACATTTCATACAGTAAACAATCAAATAATTATAATCGCCGGTATTATTTAACCCAGTTTTAACTATACCAAAGGTACAATCTTAAGTGGGATTAAAATAGTGATGTAACTGCTGCATATGAAACATGCTATATTTTTCTTAATTTTTTTTCTAAAACTTGGCGTCAACTTCATAGTAAAGTGTAACTTTGATTTATTCATATTTTGCACAATATACAACAGTATAATAATATGCAGCCCCCTTTGCCACAAAGGACTCCGATCTCAGGGTTAATCCTTAGAATTAGAATAAGGGGTGCAGATATTATTATAATTTTTTGTTTTTTGTTGAAAGAAAAATATTATAGTATATTTTTGATCGCAGTCACATGACTATTTTAATTACTGAAACTCAATTTAATAATTAAAATTGTTTAAATGTCAAGATACAGACTGAACCTTAAATGTGTACAATATATCTTAACTGGGGGGTACAATTCCCGATATTAAAACGAGTCCAGGTTATTTTTAAAAATTATAAATATTTACGAATATACAGGGTGTCGTGCTTAAATGTGATGCAAGCCTGTAGCGATTTCAAAAAAATTCTTTTTAGAATGTAGGATAAAAAAAACTATGTAACTGTAATGCTGCTGCTTTTATTAATGCAATTCACGGCCAATTAGGACTCGTTTTTGTGACGTCAAAATAGCTAATTGGTATTAGTGATTTGTTTTCCAAAAAACAGATATGTATTCTCATTCGCCATTCCTTAAAATGTCTTATCAGCAAGTTTCATTAAGTTCGATACATCTTCAGACCAGCACTAGTTGGCCGTGTATTGCATTAGTAAAACACAGCAGTATCACAGTTAAAGTTTTTTTTTACCCTACATTTCAAAATAAAAATTTTTGAAATCGACCAAAAAATAAAAAAGTTACAGTTACATATTTAAGCACGACACTCGGTACAAATATTTCTAAGATCTGTTCTTTTTGTATACACATTTTGAAAACCACTGTCCGCATGAATGGTAATGATTTATGCCAGCACACCAAAGAAACTTTCAGTCTGCCAAATCATAGATGAGGGAATTTTATATAGATTAAAACTTAAATCTTTTAGTTTAGTAACTGGTCTAAGTGAATCTATCATCATCTAAATAATGAATATCCTAAACATTCGAAAATTTTATTTCAGAAAAATGAATACTACCATGAAGTTTATATTTCTGTTGCAATTTCCTCATTGGACATATGATGTTTAAGGGTAATGAAAATTACACTGCGAATTCTTTTATTTACCTGCAAAATACAAATTGCAGTGTTGAATTATATTTTAAAAATAGACTGTGGGAGTTTAATGAACTCTTTTGTTGGAATGATGCCCCAACAACTGATCATCTGTTGTTCCTTAATTCCGGAATAAAATAAAAGCAAAATCTTCGTTACGATGCGCGGTTTCACCATTGAAGTGCTGGAGCTAACCAATTTCGAATAAAATGAAAATGTTCCGTTAAAATAAGCGATGTTTTTCCTTGAAGAGTCTGACACCAACTGATTCGAATACCGAAATCCAACGACTTTTATACTAAATCTTGCGCACGATATTAAGATTAAGATCACCGTAAAGTTCCGGTTAAGTAAGGACTAAGACTTTTTTATGAACTACACATAATTAAAGCACAAAACATTTAAAAAATAGACACAAATCACAATTAGGTAAATTTTAATTGAGAAGTACATATTTTGATGTACAGTTGACGCCACCCAAATGTGAACGCATTTTGGTAGTTATG